CTGACCAGTGTTTTGGTTTCATCCACATATGCTTGTGAATCTTTGTTCTCAGTGATGAATTTTGTTAAGTCTCGTAATAGGAGTAGCCTGACGGATGAAAGTAGTAGCTCGTGCATATCTCTGAAGGTCACGAAATATAAACCTGATGTAAAATCTCTGTCATCAGTGATGCAGCAGCAAAAGTCCCACTGATAATATCAAACGGAGTCATAAAGTTTTCTGTCGGACTATCAGTGTACATGTATACATTAAAAAATAAATGTATTTTTCATCATCATATACTGTGTTTTTGTCGCTTGAATGAATTTTATTATTTCTTCAAGGTTCTTCACATACATACACCTTAAGAGATATCAAATAGGCGTAACATGTTCTCAAAAAATTAGGGTTGGCACGCAGAAGAATTTTGAGTCAGAGATTTTGCTGGTTTTGGCACGCACTCACAAAAAGGTTGCCCACCCCTGCTATAGGACATTTATATAGAGAGCAATACTTTAGAATTTAGAGCATCCAGACCTCTAAAGTCTGGAAAAACAAAAATAAGATTTGATCCACTTCAATCAAAATAAGTGTGTGTATGTGCATGAATAGACAGACACACAAACACACACCCTTGATAAGGAAAGGTTAACTAAAATATCCTTATTTTGGGCTTTATATTTTAGAGGGTAAATAAATCATTAAATAAAGGTCCACTATTTGGTAAATCTTCCAAACACAAGGATTTCATGAGAAAAATAAAATAGAAACTTCATTTATGATTTGTGGTTAAACACTTGAGAATCACTGGCCAGTAAAATTTGGAAAGAGGCAGGTACTCCAGAGTAACAATTACTATTAACATGCAATTATTTGTGAACTCTCCCTCAAATAAAACTCTTCTAAAAAAAAAAAAATTACTACAAAAAAGTTGGTTAATAAAATCTCTTGACAAACCTAATGTAAAGTTCATACCTTGCTTTTCATAGCAGAAGAATATGGGCCTAAAAACAATCCAGGTAAAATTTCCTAGAAAAAAAATTGAGATATTTACCATCAGCAATTTAAATCTATATAAAATATGTACCATAAAAGTGGATATTGGGTGTTTTCATAGTTATAATAATTTGCTAAAAAGCTTATTATCTAGAGAGCATTTCCCAGCTACAATGAGCAAATGATTGGGAAGAGAAATGAATATGTGCTTTATATATCAAACAAGACATTCAAAATTCAAATGTGGTTCTGAATAATACATTCCAGATATTTGAACTTCCACAGTGCTTTTTTCTTCTCTGAGTTTTACTGACAATAGTGCTTTTATAGCAGTTTGGGTAGAATTAATACATTGTAGGATTATCTTTTACATTAATAAAACACCTCTAATTTTACTTCTAGTCTCAGCTAAAATCTAGAAATAGGCATAAAGAAAATCTTCCCTTTGGAATTACATTAAACCTTATTCAGCCAAGTCAAAAGCAGTACCCGATACAAGATTAGAACTGCTATCTAGCTCAGCCGGCATAGCTCAGTGTTTGAGCATCGACCTATGAACCAGGAAGTCACGGTTGATTCTTGGTCAGGGCACATGCCTGGGTTACCGGCTTGATCCCCAGTGTGGGGCATGCAGGAGGCAGCCGATCAATGATTCTCTCTCATCACTGATGTTTCTATCTCTCTCTCTCCCTCCCCCTTCCTCTCTGAAATCAACAAAAATATATTTTAAAAAAAGAACTGCTATCTATAGTTAATAATAGAAATAAAGTACAGCAAGTGAAAAAAAGGCCAATATGAAATGTTTGCTTATTGACAGTTTCATCAATTTAAATAAGTACTTTCTGAATATTACATTAAAGCTTATTCTATGTGAATTCAATATAGAATGCTTTCAGTCAGGCTGTATCATACCCAAGATACTAACATAGTAGTTCAGTTCTATAGGATATTGTCTGATTTCTTCTAACAGCTTCTTGTGAGCAGAAATAACATTTTTCTCATCTTTGCATTCTCCATAGCACCAAGTAAAATGCCTCTTAGGTACTCACATACTTTTAAAAAATGGATTTTCACTAAGAAAGAAAAGAAACAAATTTTTAGAAGTAAAAGGATTCCCAGGAACAAAAGATATTGCTTGATCCTAGGTCTAGCAGAGTGACTGTAAATGGTGAGAAATGCAAAAGAAAAGTGAACTGTTAATTAGCTATCACTTAAGTCATTCCATACTGGGAGAATTCAACTCAGTCTTCTGGAGGAGTTAGTTTTGGAAATTGATTGGAAATCACTAATATATCTAAGGTATGATATAGCCCGACTGACAGATTTCCATATACACTGAACTCTCCTGAATGTATCTAAACTAGACAAACAGAACAAACTGCTTTCAAAAGGAATCAAAATACTGTACCAAATTTTTTAGATGCAGAAAAACAAAGTGACTCATTAAGCATGTACATATATTCCTGTCCATGGTTCTAATCTTAAAAATAAGAACTGCAACAATTCATTTCCCATCTTTTTAAGATCCACAATTAAGTTTAAATCTGTTAATATTTAAAAATACTTAGTGATGAACCTACAGATTACGAGTCAACAGATGAGCCACAAAGGATTCAAATCCGCCGAGGCCGGTTTGGCTCAGTGGATGGAGCGTCGGCCTTCGGACTGGGGGGTCCCAGGTTCGATTCCGGTCAAGGGCATGTGCCTGGGTTGCGGGCACATCCCCAGTGGGAGATGTGCAGGAGGCAGCTGGTCGATGTTTCTCTCTCATCAATGTTTCTAACTCTCTGTCTCTCTCCCTTCCTCGCTGTAAAAAATCAATAAAATATATATATATATATTTAAAAAAAAAGGATTCAAATCCTTTATGAAATTAGGTTATTTAATGATCCTATATAATAAAAGGGTAATATGCAAATTGTTCCCCTCCACTGGGAGTTCGACCGAAATTCAACCAGAGGGTGGGGCCAGCCGGCCAACCTCCCATGTCCCCTTCTCCTCTCACCCCGCCAGTCCAATTACCCTGATCGGGCGGGCCGGCGGGACCCCACCCGTGCATGTATTCGTGCACCAGGCCTCTAGTAAACAATAAGGTTGTCATACCTGCATCTCTCGTCTCATAGGGTAGGTCCACTCCTTAAAAATAAAGAAAAACACAAGAATAAAAGTTAAATAACATTATAAAAAATGTCACCCAATTAAAAATTAAATATGTGACATTCAAGCGTGTGGAATTTTAAGAAAAGTTTATACTTTAAGAATATTCTATAAAAATAGCAGATTCAATTGGCTACACAAACACCTAAAAATGTAAGTAACAAGAAACAAGGTATTCTTTAAATATTTGGCCTTCCAAAATTATGATTATATTACTTCATACAATGGATGGAATAGTTCATGAATTATAAGAATAGATATTCCAGAAGTTTCTCCCCCAAATAAATTACAGATATTAATAGACATTTTTTTTTTTTACATTCATGCTAACTCAGATCAACTGGCAGTAGATAGCTAAAACAAAGTGTGGAAAAGACTAAGGAAGAAGAGTGTTGTGATCAATAAGCAATATCTGCAATGGATGAAAGAAGAATGGTGTATGACAAGTATTTGCCATCTCTGATCTAAACTGCCAGATGCTTGTGAAACAGCCTTTCCCATATCTTACTTGGGCTTAAGATCTGTCTTGTTCAACTCATTTTAAATATACATTTCAAGAAAGTATAGATTTCATTCTGTCTTTGGAATGCAGACCAAGATAAAGAAGTCAGAAAATAATGCAAAATGCCAATGGCAAAGACAAAATATTTTAAAAGTTAGGAAAAGAACAAAGAAATGACAGTAAATTGACATGAAAAAATCAAATAGAGTACAGATAGTCCTAATTTGTAAATGGATTGAATTCCAAGTCTCTAACTTGGTTGCTTAAAACTCAGAATTATAAATAGTAATTAGGTTTCTGAAGTTAAAACTAGAAGTGTTGCTGTTTTTTTAAAAAACACACAAACCTTTTTTTTTTTAAAATAATTTTAAGATTACAGAAAAGTTGCAAAAAATTGTACGAGAAATCTCCTTTATCCTGATTCCCCAAGTCAGAAAAGTATTTTTAGCACATAATGTAGAACTTTTATACACCCATAATAGAAAGGGAGAATATTCTACTCCTGCAATGCCAGCAGGCTTTAAAAAAAAACAAACACAAAAACCAGAGAAGAAACAGAAAATATATTTTAATCTTGAAAACTGGTCTCAGCAATGTAGTAGTAGTAGATTATAAATCCTGAGAAATTGTCTATGTAATGACAATTTAAAAAAGGAATAAAGGCCCGCTCATGTGGCTCAACTGATTGAGCATGGTCCCATGTACTAAGAGGTCGCCAGTTCGATTCTTGATCAGGGCACATGCCCAGGTTACAGGCTTGATACCCAGTAGGGAGTGTGCAGGAGGTAGCCAATCAACTGATGTTTCTCTCTCATCCATGTTTCTATCTGTCTTTCTCTCTCCCTTCCTCTCTCTCTAAAAATCAATAAAAATGTTTAAAAAAAGAGAGAACTTGGCCCTGGTCCAGTAATTCTGTTAGAGCATCATCCCGATGCATCAAGATTGGGAGTTCAATTCCTGGTCAGGGCACATATAAGAATCAACCAATGGATGCATAAATAAGTGGAACAACAAATCTCTCTCTCTCTCTCTCCCTCTCTCTCTCTCTCCACCTCTCCATCTCTTTCAAAATCAATAAATAAAATTTTCTAAAAATGAGAACTTATGAATATGGACAACAGTGTGGTGATTGTGGGAGAGTGGAGAAGAAGGCACAGAGTGAATAAATGGAAAAATTAAATGAAGAACACAAAAAAATAAAATTTATCTATGTAAAAAAATAGTATTTAGCCGAAACCAGTTTGGCTCAGTGGATAGAGCGTCGGCCTGCGGACTGAAAGGTCCCAGGTTCGATTCCGGTCAAGGGCATGTACCTGGGTTGCGGGCACATCCCCAGTAGATGTGCAGGAGGCAGCTGATTGATGTTTCTCTCTCATCGATGTTTCTAACTCTCTATCTCTCTCCCTTCCTCTCTGTAAAAAAATCAATAAAATATATTTTAAAAAAAATAGTATTTAAATGCACAGCTAAATTAACAAGCAAGTTAATCACTACAGATTAGTTTTGCTTGTTTTTTAACTTCTTATAAATGGAATCAACTATTTTATGTCTTGCTTCTTTCATTCCACTTAATGTCTGGGTCTCACCCATGTTGTAGTGTATGTCAGTTTTCCCCTTTTTATTTCTGTGCAGTATACTACTGTATGAATATTACACAATTTACTCATCCTCCTGTGGAGATTTAAGTAGCTTCCAGGTTTTGGCAATTATGAATAAAGATGCTATGAAAATGCTTTTACTACTATGTGCCCTTTGGTAGTCATATGCATTCGTTTCTCTTGGATATGTAAGTAGCAATGGAATTTCTAGATCACAAGGATAAGCCTATATTTGACTTTACTAGACAATACCAAAAGTTTCCCAAAACCAATTTACTAGTACACTTCCACCAGCAAGGAATGGAGGTTGTAGTTGTTCCACATCCTCATCAGTCATATTTTAAATAGCACTGTACATGTGAGATATAAGACAAAGCCTAGGACTTGCTCAAAGTGAGAAGTCAAATAAAATATAAAAAGCTGGTCCCTAGCTGGGTTGGCTCAATGGACAGAGCGTTGGCCTGTGAAATGAAGGGTCCCGGGTTCAATTCTGGTCAAGAGCACGTACCTTGGTTGCAGGCTCCTCCCTGGCCCGGGCCCCGGTCAGGGTTCGAGCAGGAATCAACCAATCAATATATTTCTCACACATTGATATTTCTCTGTCTTTCCCTCTCTCTTCCACTCTCTCTAAAAATCAGTGGGAAAATATCCTCGGGTGAGGAATAAAATAAAATAAAATAAAATAAAATAAAATAAAATAGAAAGAAAGAATTCACACAGGTAAGTTCCAATGAGCTCACAATAAAAAAACTGACTAAAAAAAAAGGTGGTAGTGGAAATGAGCTACCATGAAAAGCAGATATAACTGAATGACATCTACAGACCTGCAGATAGGACAATAATGAAAAATTCAAAACACATATAGCCACTGCCAGTGTCACTCAGTTGGTTGGGGAGTCATCCTATACACTGAAAGGTGGTGGGTTTGATTCCGAGTTGGGGCATGTAGAAGAGAAAACTGATCGATGTGTCTCTCTCATATCAATGTTTGTCTGTCTGTTTGTCTCTCAAAAACAATGACGATATCTTCAGGTGAGGATTAAAAAAAAAACCCACACCAAACATTTAATACAATAAGTAAAGAGAGTAGCAAAAATATGACCATCAATTAAGAAACTCATTTTTAAGAGAGGCAATGGAATATGTAGAAACAAAAAAATGCAATTGAATTTAAAAAAGAAAAAACAGTGGATGAATTAAACAGAAGAAAGGACACGATAAAGAAAGAATTTGTGAACTGGAAAATAGAAGTGACCTTTCAAATGACCTAAATTCAGAGTTGGAAAATATGAGGTCTCAGAAGAGGGGAGGAATCAGATTGCAGTGTGCACTCTCTGAAGCACTTAGGAGCAGAAAGGTAGAAACATTCCTGCCTGAGTGGTCAGCACATATTGTAGCTAAACCCAGTGACAGGTTAGCTGTGGTCTAGCAGCCCCATTGCAAGGAAGAAGGCAAGGCCACTGGATCTTGGCCACTCCCCCTCACCCACCAGGAGCTGGCAGCAAGAACTAGCAGCAGGGCCCAGAAGAAGCTGTAGCAGTATCAGGTTGCAGAGAGCACTATCTGCAGCCTTGAGAACTGAAGAGGCAGAAGCATTCCTTCCAGAGTGGTGGATGCATGCTGGGGCTGGTCCCCATGATGGAGGTCTGGCAGCTGCCATTACTGGGAGAACAAAGCCACAACGCAAAAGCCTGTCTCTCCCAGGCCATCTTGCCCCCACCCATAGCAGCTTAAGCCAAGTGGGGGACACCTGGACACCTATGACAGGGAAGCAGCTGGTTTCAGGGGACAGCACTGGGATTTCACAGGTATAGAACCCCATTGCCCACCACATTCCTCCATGGGGGTGGTGTTCTGAACGAAAGGGTCACAGAGGAGATGCCTACTTCCCCAGGGAATATAGGGCATTTTCGCTTACCCACAGAGATCCAAGAAAACAAAGCAGTGCAAGAGAAAACAAAAACACTTCAGCACAACTTATTGGACAACAAAAAACCTCTTCTTATTGACCTACTAAATAAAGAAGGATCACTCTTTTTAAAAAGCAGATTGCATTCCCAAAAATGCCTAGGCAGAGGAAAAAATCCATCAAATACCATGAAACCAAGGCAACAAGGTATCTCAGAAAATGAAAACATCTCCAGAAAATAAACTTAAAGACATCAAAATATATGATTTAAATGACAGAGAATTCAAGACTGCAGCTCCTGAAACTCAACAAAATATAAGAAAACTCAGGCAGTTTAATGAAATAAAATAAAATAGCTCAGTTGGTTAGAGCCTTGTTCCGATATGCCAAGGTTGCAAGTTTGATCCCCAGTCAGGGCACATAAAAAAGAAATAATTTACCAGAGATTAATCTTTAAAGAACCAAATAAGCCCAGCTGGTGTTACTCAGTGGTTGAGCATAGACCCAGGAACCAGGAGGCCATGGATGATTCCGATCAAGGAACACGCCCTGTTTGCAGTTTGATCCCCAGTAGTGGGCATGTAGGAGGTAGTCGCTTGAGGATATTTCTGTGTCATCGATGCTTCTATCTCTCTATCCCTTTCGCTCTAAAAATCAATAAAAACATTTTTTAAAAAGGACCAAATAGTCACTTTCTCTCTTCCCAGAGAACACCCTTCTTTTCAAGTATACTTTCTTAAGCTCCAAGGGCCCTTCTTTTGCCTCTGAAACTTGTTTCCTTAACCCATTTCTTCTATGCCTCATTTTTACTACCTCTGTAACTTTCTAAATAAACTTCTCATAATTTGAGTTCTTGGCTCTGAATTCTTTCTTTGCAGAACTCAAGAACCAAGGTCCAACTTCATTGTTTTGACAATATCACCAGTTAATGTAAGGTGCCTTATCGCCCTCTCAGTTGGCTAGAGGCACC